CCACATCGTGACGTAGACATGTGGGGGCGTGTTAGAACTAGCCGTTTTAGGTAGGCGTGGTTGACTCTTAACTGTTATAAAGAATATCTCTTTGGATTTGAAACTTTAGTCTTTGCAACTTTACAGATCTTCTTTATGCACCAAGAGCTTGTAACACTCCAAAGAGAAAGGAAAAAATTGAAATTGCATCATATGACCCCTTTAAAATCTAGGGTTTTGGATAAACTAAAAGCTTGAATTCACAGGTCACCCCTTCATTAGCCTGCAAACTTTGTGTCATAAACCCACTGAGTCCAGACCCTTCACAGTGGGCAACTACTTCCCACATAAAAGGACAATGCTTCTCTTGTTTCTTTCCTTTCTTTTCACTTTTCTGACTCATATATCCCTGGCTTCATTGCATCTTTTCATGCCTCCCTCCTCCCCTGCCCCGCTCCCTCATTCACATCTGTTGTGCCTGTAAACATTGTCTGGTTTGCTTAGTCTTCTTTAACACAGTACAAACAACTTGAGGGCTGAGTTGCACTCCAAAGTTACAAAAAAGATTTCTCAGAAAGCAAGAGAAATCTCAGAGCTGCTGAATCAGCTAACAGCATTCAAATTCAGCAAGCAGCATTACAATAATTAAGCTCAGTGGTTCTCAGCGGGTGAGTCTTTGGGTCACAGGTCTGTTCTGGTCGTGGACAGCAGAGGGGAAAATATAAAATGCAAATAATAAAATACAACCAGCCATAGTCATAAGTAAATTAACAACATAAATAGGCTTATTAAATTTCAAAAGGTATAGAAGAACTTGATAAGTTTGATAGTTTGTATCTTTCTTAATTTATTAAATTATAATAAAATACATACGTTTGTTACATTTCAAAAGGTATATGAGAAAATGTTTTATATATTTGACTTTTTATATCTTTATGATTTTTTATAAATTATATATTTATTAATTTACTAAATTATAATAGGTTTATTCAATTTCAAAAGTTGTAGGAAAAACTGCTTTATATTTTTGACATTTTATATCTTTATTAATACATTAAATGATCATATCTTTATTGATTTACCAAATTATAATAACAAAATAAACAGGCTTATTACATCTTAAAAGATAATCAGAGAAAATTTAAATTTCTGACATTTTTTTTTTTACTAATTTAAGAAATTACAGTAACAAAATAGACACATTAACTTTAAAAATTAAGCTATAGGAGAAAATTCTATAACTTTTTTGACACTTTATCTTATATTTCTATTTTAATGATCAAATCTTTAATTTAAATAAACAGGCCTATGAAATTTTAATGGTTACATTTTA